ATTTATGGCAGGATCCACAGCCATGTGGCAAGCAGAGCGTGTATTCTCCTGTTTCCTTCCCACAGAGTGGTACTCATTTATCAACCTCAGAAGGAAGAGTGGCGAGTCAGCCTGACCAGGGCTTGTACTCAGTACCTATCGGTTCTGAATGCGACGCTCTCTCGACTGAACAACCCTGGTCTGAAGCAATGTGTGGCAAATTTCTTGCTCAAGCGAATTCGTGAATATTACAGCCTTCGAGCGGAATCGAACCCGGCACTTCCGGATGTAGACTTCATGGAACTGCCTCAACGTCACGCCATGGTACATATGGTATATAGGCGTAAATCGTGATTTTTGATTAAATACTTCAAGGCGAATTAATAAATGCTTAACCTTCTCAAAACTAAATTTCAAGTTATATGGTACATTTTCACGCTTTTAGATGCTTAGGAGCTATTTAAGCAGATCGAGGTTACGTATTGTATAGACAAATCTCACATCATTTTGTGGCTTGTACTAATACCTTAACTCGTAGAACATATGGTAACATTCTGCTAGTAGTAATAACGGCAACCTTAATGCAAAAAGTGTACGGCTAATGGTTCACAAAGTAGTGTTCATGTCATTACTTGCAGTATTAGAGTACTGCAAGAACGCAATCCCATTCGTATTAATAGTACCAATGTTCTTACGTGCGACATATTAATAGCTTAGTCGTATTATTAGTACTGATTTCGCTGGTGTTATTATTACTAAATGAGTAATGCCAATACTACTGGTACTATTTCTAGTTGGAATGGTACTGCTGCTGCGAACTTTACTAGTGCTAGTAGTAATAATAATGGTAATAACTGTACCTAACAACTACTAATTATATTTCTGCTGGTATTAATGCCAGACTACTACTGCAAAAGTATTCGTACTATGCGTCGTAGCGGTTCATCTCGGTTTTTACACGGATATACTGCATACAAGTTGCCCGTGACTTGTGTGGAACGCAAGAACGTCATGGGAAATTGAAGTCCTACAGTAAACTGGATTAATGTGGTAGCTGTACGTTGATAATCACATTATAACGTTAGAGACTATAACATTTACACTTTTTAGAAGAGCCATGATTAACTCTACCGGTTAGGCCTATATTTGTTGTACTTTTATCCGTATGTAGTACAAGTCTGGTATATTTCATACTGACAACGATTATGACCTATAATATGAAGCAAGCGATTATAAACTAAAACCACATGAGCTAAAAGCGAGGGAGGCTTAAAACCAAAGAAGCGAAAAATATAATTTTCGCTAACAAATAGCATAATTAGGTCATTTACTCATTTCATTGTTTAGACTTTAAACAGATTCACAGAGTAATTCCTAAGACATTCAAGCAACCTCCTTGTTAACCAATTTTGGATCTCGCCCCTGTAAAACTAGCTAGTCTACTTCACTGTGTGTTGGGAACAGTGAATTTGTTCGCTTTACCTGACAGTGACGGTCAAGAAGTTCTTGCGAAAATATATTACCTGACTTCAATTCGATTAAAAATTCTATGGAAATCTAACCTAAGCTAAGAATGCGAATGATGCTAGACGAAGGAAGAAAATACCTCTCACGAATTGGCCGATGAATGCTTGCAAGCACGGTGGGTACATTGGCGTCAGAGTTTTCAAAAGATAGCTTAATTTTTATGTACAAGGGATGATATATGTCACTTGTTTGGACGTCGTCCTTTTATCATGCACTTAACCAGCAAAACCTCAAAAAACACGAATATAGACATAATCTTTCCGTCAGTGATGTTGCATGTATGATTTGCCAACATGGAACTGGTAACTTGTTTCTCTACAGATATGGAGGAATATGAAACTACAAAATTCCATTATTAACAAACGAGTCTATCACGCAAATTTGTTACTGAAAGAATGAACTGAGTCAGTCTAACTCACACAGTGACTAACGTTTTCCAACATATAACTCAGGACCATATGTCATAGCCGTACAAGTTTTCTTGCTTTCAAAAAGGGCAGCATTGTCACTGTTAGATATGAATAAAAGTAAATTATTTATAGTGTATAACCTCAAGAAGTTAATGATGCATTCAAAAATATCATGCTAAACGTAGTATAGCCATGTTAACGACTGAGCAGGACAGTACTGAACTGGAAGCTAACAGAAGTTCTGGTAACATATATTTTTGAAAGCAGAGGTGGCA